GCAGCTCTTTGCTAAGCGCGAGCGGCTTTGTCAGTTGGCGGCGGTGTGCCGCGCCCGGCGCGGTGCATCTGCTGGTTGGCAGGGCTACTCTGAGGTATTTGTTTCATCAGCTGGAGGGCAGACTTGCCGACACCAGGTTGGCAGGATCAGGTTTCCGCCGTCCAGGCTATGTTCAGCACATAAACGTCCTGAACTTTCAATGTTTATCAAGGACATCTTCCTGAGAAGGTTTCCAGAGAAGCCATCAACAAGTCTAGACATGTGCCTGCAGCCGCCAGTCAGCGCATGGCAGTCCAGACATTGAGAGGCTGTACACATCCGCAGCACTCCTGAAAATAGCAGTCACTGAACCTGTTTGCCCGCTTTTACGCACAAATGTGCAAGACTTGATGGCCGCTCAGGGCAGTGTGAGGGAATGCGTGCGTGTTGCAGGTCTTGCCTCGCGATCGTGGAGTTGTCGATGTCTGGTATTCGTCTTTGCAGCATCTCTTCCAGCAAGTAGCTGTTGGGATGCCTCGTCACCGCGACAGAAGCTGGCAAGCCCGCGTTTCTGCAGGGGTTTGATTCGTTCCAAGGCAGCACCGCTTCAGGTCCTGATGCTGCCATCATATGATAAGTCAAGAGTTCGGGAGTTGGTTTCTCATCATCAATTGGCCTGCTTGGCTCTACGGTTGCCATTTGCGGTCGTGTCCCCCTGCAACTGGAAAATCGGTTCGGGGACGGCGATCCCCACTATACCGCCCTGTATCTTGCCTGTCCTCGTTGTGGAAGGCTTTGGATTGCAGAGGAAAAAGGCCAAGTCTCTATACTTCGCGCTTCGGGCATCCTTGTTTGTAGCATCCGATTTTGCCTGTGAGGGGCAGTCGTGCCGAAGGCAAATTCTTGAGCTGTTCTCTTGAGCACATGCCAACTGTTCCTTTCAACAAGCGCCACCACAAAAAGAAAAAGGTTACACATGTGCTTATCGCTGAAGCAGAGCAATGTAGGAACAGAGAGCAACCGCGACCTCACGATGTCTCTCGAGCAATGGTCTTCTCTATACGTGCTGCAAAGCTCGGTGTGCTGGTCTTGCTGCTGCAGCAGGTGATGGCATGGAACAGCAGCTTTGGCTTTACACATGAACCTGCCGAAACTCATCCTGGATCGTAAATCTGCAGAATCCCTGCGTGGAATCCGGAATGGAGGGGTTCCTTTCAAGACCGGCTTCTCATGTTACGAGTACTACAGTGACTACACATGACCTACTTCATCAGCATGACAAATTTCGCCATACGTTTCCGTACAGATCGGAGTGAGTAGGTCTGCAAGGTGTTGCTTTCAAGGTGCGAGATGCTGTTGCGGTGTTCTCCTTGCGTTGTTCTATCGGGTACGCATTGTCCTGTCGTTGCAGCCGAGAGGACAGCAATCCACCCCCAACTTAATAAGACATGTCTGTATCACTGGCTGAGACGTTGAGTCCTGAGGCCACGTGGCAGCCCATGGCCGGTCCTTGGCATGCTGGGCTCGATGCATCCTGGTCCAGTATAGGTATAGGAGGAGCTTTGACTTTTGGCAGATATCAGCACTTGAGCGGATCCCTTTCAAATGAGAATGCATGCTCTTTCGTTTTTCTGTGAAGGCTCCCGTACATGCGCAGATATGCCGTCATCCTCAGAACCAAAGCGGTGTCGAAGCTTGAGGACGCTCGGGGCTGAGTCTCCGAGGCTCCTGGCGTGGCTACTGCTTGAGCGTCGTCGTGCGCCCGAAGGGCTTGGTGACCTCGTCGAGCGCCATGGGTCCAAATGGCTCCTGGAGGCCATGATTTGGGGGCGCTCAACAATAGCACATTCACAGTAAAGGGATGCAGCTCAGAGACGGAACCAGCGCAGCTGCTCTTTAACTTCACCTCTCTGTCACACATTCTGGCTCGCAGTCCACAAAACCTGCGATGAACGGTGGGTAAACATCAAAGGCTTTGGCGAAGAGCCTGCGCAGTGCGAACTGATTCCGACGCAAAATCAATCAACCGTTTTGGCTTGGGTCGAAAGTGGTGCAGTTCTGCTGCACAATATAAGCAGTCGACCATCCAGGTTAGGCATCTAAAGTTCAGCGCAGCGCCTGCATCTTGCGCATCGTTTCGAGCTTTTGTCGTGATGCTAAGCATATCACTCTTTCTGCCACGAGGTCATGGCGGGATGCATGGACACGGTGACTGCGGCCTGGCTGTTTGCAAATCCTTTCGGGGCCCACTCGTAAAATAAAGAAGACAAAAAGCAGGAGCCTGCCTGCCAGATGTCGACAGGAAGCGGGAGGTTGACAGTTCAATTCTGCTCGAAACAGAGCTTGCCGCACTGGACCAGCAGCTCAGCATTTTTCAGGTCATCATGCGGGCGGTTGGCATGGCAGTCGTCCTGTGTGCCGAGGCCCCGGGTAACTTGCGAGATGTGATTTTTGTTCTCCGGTTTGCAAGGCAAGGCGGGTTTTCGGAGAAGAGAGGCTTCCGTTAAAGTGTATGCACGGGGATTGTGTGGCAGGATGGGATGCACGACTACACGGGGCTGGCGCTGAAGCACATCACGACTGGTCATCTCGTAGCACAGATCGCCACGCTGGCTTTCTCTAACTATGCTTCCTGTCTGCAATGAACTGATGGCGGGACATGAAGAGGACAGCGCAGGCATGCGAAGCATCCGTAGGCACCAGCCCCTGTATATCTTTCTTACTGAGACTTGGCAAAAATGAGAGTTTAAATTGTGCTGAGTGAAATCTAGAAGGCCAAACACCCTAACAGTGAGCTTGGAATGATGGGTAGTGATATCAGCAACCGCAAGATCTGCGCAGTACTCCAAGAGGCCGGCACATAGGCCGCATTGACCACACCCTCAGATGCTTGAGAAAAGTTGCGAGATGTCATTCGTTGCCCGTTTTGGCCAAGGTGCAGCACGTCCTTGCATTGTACAGGGTTGCAAGATGTTGCAGAGCCCGTATATGATGGCACAGGCTTTTGACCTCATGGAGGGTTCCACAATTCCACATGGCCATGGTTTTCTCGCATAGCATGCCGTAACAAAGCTGGGAAGCCTGGCACTAATGGGTTCGTAGGAAGTTCCGCGTGACACGAAAGTTTCGTAAGGCAGGCAGTTTCACATCGCGGCTGGTCTGGGGTTCTCCTGCTACAGCATCGCTTTGTTTCTATCGTTTTATTACACAGTTTTATACATGTATCTGTTGAGTTGCATCGCTTTAGTTGTTGAGCCAAACAAAGTCTTGTACGCGGCATTGTTCCAGACTGCAGAAATTGTCATCTCTTGCCCCTGGAGCGCACACGCGTGCTTAAGGAAACGCCGCTCTGCACTCCAAGCAGCTCGGAATTTTTTCGGCACACACAAGCCTCAGGACCACAGGAGTTCCTTAGTAGCGTTGAACAACTGACGAGGGCCCAAGCAAGCAGCGAGTTTGATTGTTTTAAGCTCCAAGATTTCAAGATGCCTGACGCGTGTGACTGGCTCAGGTATCGAAGTTCTCCCTTTGGTCAAGGCAATGCAGGCAATGGGGCGCAAGAGATTTAGCTTGCGGAAGAGGTCTAGCTTCGGAGATCAAACTCAGTTCCTGCAGCAATCAAGTAGGCAATGTGGGAACTCATGGATGCTCCTGGTGGCCAGGAACGAATCTCCTTAATGGCGCCGACAGACTTTGAGCCTTGGTTGGGCGATGTGGCGCGAAACCCGACACAGATCGTGTACTGTTTTCGAAAACTCCTCTGCATTTTGTGTACATTATCGTACATCTTCGTGAGCTCTCAGCGCTTCTGAGGAGGCCGTCCTTGCCTCGACGGTGCTGTGCTCGAGCTGTGCCACCATGTTGTCCGGCGGGGACCTCGGCTAATATGGGTTTAGGGACTCACGTGGACTCATGCGAGACGGCTGACAAGCTTGATACTGCTTGACACGTGGCCGGGATTGCACTCTTTAGCGAGCTTCATGTGCCACTGCACCACTGCATGTAGCATTTGCACATCGCTCCTGTTTGGCTTCACGAGTTGCCAAGGCTTCGCAATGTATGCAATCGGTCTTTCGCAAGTGGGCACCGCTTTGCGCTTCATTCCGTACTCGGTGGAGGTGTCCGTGCAGGCATCCTCGTTCGTCTAGTTTCGACGCGCAGAAATCCCAGTAGACGAGACCAGAATCCGAAACTGCGAGCCCTCACTGACTCTGCGTCCATATCACTCTGTTCTGTTTTACCGTCATACCGAAGCACATGCACTGGCACCAATCAGAATACAATATCCTTAGTCCACAGAACATACACCACATGCATATATCTGTCAGATGGATGTATGGGTGGATCGATGGATAGATGAGTGGATGGAAGGATGCATGCTTCCATGATCTACGTACGTATGTAATATGGTGCTGCGATGTGCTGCGTGGGTGCATGTCTGTGTGTGTGTGTGTGTGCGACCGTGCATGCTTCTGCAATTGGCTGCACATCGGCATTGTTATAGGTGGATGTTTCAGGGTCGAGTTGCGAGTCACTTTCTGCGCAGGCTATGCTGGGCTTGGTCCTGTTGGGTCTGGGCATTGAGGCAAGCTGTGGGGTCGACATCTTGAGCCTTGGGCAGCAGAACCCTGTGATTTGGGGCAGCATGCGGCGAGCACATGCGCATGCGTGTACATAGTGATAGTGACATAGGTATATGTTATATATATATATATATAACTTATATGTATACATATAAATATACACAACTGTACACACCTACATATATGTGAGTATACATATGTATCTGTACATACGGAAGATCCCCTTAAACAATACAATGAATCATTCGTACATTAATGAAGAGTTGCTGCACCTGCACTTGCGTACTGACTTGTTGTACTTCTTGGAAGCATCAACTTTGCTGCGAAGTAGCCGGAGTGGACATGTGACCTGCCATGCAGTGTCAGCGTGCTGACGTTGCCAAGTGGGAGCCAAAAAATCGTACATTACATACAGACATACCTGCGTAATTACATACGTGCATACATGTATACGAACGGACTCGCATGCATCCACGCCGGCGGCAGGGAGGGAGGTCGGTGGGTTGGCAAGTACGTAGGTTGCTGGGTAGGTAGGTAGGTAGGTAGGTAGGTAGGTAGGTAGGTAGGTAGGTAGGTAGGTAGGTAGGCTGGTATGTCTGAGCTTGCATCCCACACGTACATACAAACCTGCATGTGCACGTAAACAATGTAGAGTGACAGAGAGTTCAACAGCGTCGTTGGTTTCTTCATTCGCTATTGCGGCTAATACCTGTGTCTATGCAGGCACACTTCCAAGGATATGCTTGCCTGGATACACTGTTTGATGGCCTAGAGAGCTTTCTGAGCTTCTGCCATGAACAGACTGCCAGCCTGGATCTGTGGTAGTCTACGCAGCAAAGTTGAGTTCCAACATGACACACCCAAGCGACGTGGCATATAAGGACCGACTTCGCAACCGAGCCGGCTTCCTGTCTGCAATTCAACCGGAGAGGCCGCTGATGTCCCCACCCGGCTTGTGCACTAAGGAGGCGTTGGGATCGCTTGTCATCGACCCATCTATCCTCATGCTGTGGATGCCATCCATGCTTTCTGCCTTGGCCATCTACTTCTTTACAAGATATGTGCATCTTTGCCTCAGTTATCCGATGACTCTGCCAGCAGAAGCGAGCTTCCGTCAATCTAGCTGAACTCAAGTTGAGTTTGCTTGTTCTTTTCCAGCTGCTGTTCCGCATGGATTCGAAGATATTTGAAGGAAAGACTCGCCCTTCACGATCGCTGTATACACGTTCTCGGCAATCGCTCTTTTCCATGCGCTTCGATTGTGTCTGGGTACCTCCTTGCAGGCCCCCCTGTCTGCAGCGCAGTTTCTTCTCCTGCCTATATAGTTCGGCTTGCAGAACATTCCTGCAGCACGCAGGCCGCTCAAGACAGTCGGTGGCTTTATCCTCAGACCGAGTATTTCCCACTGTCGCTGCTTGGCTTTGGTCACGTGTTTGTTCAGGCACACCTGTTTGACAGCCTGAGTCGCCCTCGGCCCGAGGAAGCTTTACGCGCTCGCCGGGAAGGATATTGTTTGGTCCTCCGTGCTTCTCGGCTCTTCCTTGCGACCAAAGCTGCTACAACAACAAAGCCGCTCTCGCGCCTTGTTGGACAGGTTCTCCAACATGCCGAAGATCTTGCTGAGTGCTTTCATCATCTCCATAGTGAACATTGCCTGCCAGCTTGCTGTCACCGCCAGCCTACTTCCGCCAAAGGCCCGGGCTGATCAAAGCCAGGGAGGGTAGCAAGCCAGGAGTTGATTGCATAAGATCTGCCTGCAAGACATGCGTCCGCCGAGGTGATGGGTGCATCCACGTTTGACTATGCCACTTGGGTGAGTGTATGGACAAAACTGTCGGAAAGGAGTGTGCGCAGACTTCACAACGGACAGTGTTGTTTGTGCGGCCGGAAGTAAGAATTCTTTTCTGAGCCGATCATGTGTCCTAGCTCGGCACTTCGTCGGCCAACGCTGGTTACTGCATCGCAAAGTACCACTCAGTTGTACGACTAAGGAGATGATTACTCAAGGCTGTCGGGCTGCAACATGTCCGGCAGATGACAAGAGCGCAGATGCCACAGAATGTGAGTAACCTCGGTACCAGACTAACAGTCCCATCCCAAATCAACCTAGCACATTCCACGCGCGTGCGCCGCCTTTGCCTTTGAAGGCCGATCTCACATCATCGGTGGCCTTGCGCTGGGCTTTGCTTCGGACTTCGGGAATGATGATACATTGGCACCTTGCTGCAATTCATCGGCTGGAGCCCGGCCGTAAGACTTTGCAATCATCGCCACAGTTTGGTGCCATGTCTATGGGATTTTGGACGGACCCTTGCGAAGAAGCTGAGAATCAAGCACATTTGACGAGCGGTTGGTAAAGTTGAGGAATTTGATTATATTTGATTGACTTCCCCAGGCCTCATATAACACACTCCAGCCCCACCTGCCTCTTACATTAAGGGCAGGTGGGATTTGGCTCATTTGTCCCAAGGACTGTCCAGCTGGCACACATGGCGGTTCTCTGGCTTCCGCACATGTTTGCCGCCTAATAAAATCGCGGTCTTTCCACAGTCCCGCTGGAGTCGCGCCCGAGTCATTGCAAATTCACGCGATGAGTCGCGCTGTGGTAGCAGGCCCGTGCGTAGTGCTGTCCTTGGGTGGGAATCGAGCTTCCACCCAAGTCCGGTGCTCATTTTGGCTTTCAAAGCACTCGAATCATCTACAGTCCTAGCAGGGCCACCTTGGTCGGCTCTTCGCGGCTCCTTGCTGTGCTCTCGACATCCTGCCGTTCTATGAATTTTGTAACACTTTGGCCGAACTCGACATTGCGCGCAATTTGGGATGCGCATCCTGTTCCCGCCACGGCCGTGTGTCCGCCTCCCGAAATCATCATGCTCCCACCACAGCGCATTTGGCTGCGACTCGTGTTTTCCGCCTTGAAACTCGTGCTCACCATAGTTATAGTTCTGCCGCACTTTTGCTCACAGTACTTAGGTACACCGTATGGTGGGAGGCCGCAGCCTGAACGAGAGTTGGACAGCAGCTTTTCACGCTCGCAGACCATTGCGATTTGCCAAGGGTTTCAACTTAAGCTGTGAGGCCGCTTCCGATTGAGTATGTGGGCACATGTTGTGACTACAGCCTTGTGCCTTGGCTCTTGTTAGTTCATGTGTTGCGACAGACATCAATCCCCGAACCTAGATGTGTGCTTTGCGTGGACATACCGCAACTCGGCGCAGCAAAGAACAGGATTGCGATTTGGCAAGAAGCACGGGTGTTTCTTAGATTTTTCGTGATATGCGCAGCCCTGGAGTTTTCTTCGGCGCATATTGTCCCGGCGAACGGCATCTCGAAAATCTGCAAAGTTCTCTTGACCGTACAACGTGGCAGAGCGAGACTTAGGAAGAACAGCCTACCATACGTTCCACGTTTCGTGAACGGTACCATAGTGCTGTTGGCCTCGGCGGAGCTTCTTGTAGCCGGCTTCGTGCAGGTGCCGATGCACCGTGCTTCTTTGCTGTGCCGTAGAACACCGAAAGCAGCAGGTCTGGGAGTAGAGATGTGTGCGCAACTAAGCGCCAGGGCTATGCGCTGCTGACGAGAACGGAATTTGCAGTGGCTGCTTGGAGAAATAGGGCCTAAGGGATAATGAAGCTGTACAAGAAGCTCAGATTCAAACACCCTAAGTTATGCCACCGACATGCTTATCATGATGGTCAATGGTTGGAAGGACACCTGTCCTGCCCTGCGCATTGTATCAGCGGTTTTGAGTCATTCAAAGCATTCTCAACTGGTATCTTTCCTTCCAGTTTATCCTTTGTAAGCTGCCCTGTATGTCATCGGATGTACCCCAGAAAATCATTCAAGCAAGTCTCAGGTTTGCATTGCTGCGTTGGTGACCTTACTTTGCGGTGGTCAAGTTCAGGCTGGCTTCTCGGCAGCAGGGCAAAATATTAAGAAGATCCAAAGCAGGCAAACAGACGGAAGATCATGCGTGCTGTCCAGTCGAAACATGGTGTTCAACAACCGGACTTCCAAGGACTGTTTGCAGGCATGTTTCTTGCCTTTGCAGACGCGATTCGGAACTTCACCCGGGCATTGGAGCAGCTGTCAATAAAGAACGCCACTTGCCTTGACTTGTGTGGACGTGGAAGGCTAGATGCTACTAGTAGCAGTTTCCGGGGCCGAGGAAGGAGACGTGGCCGTTGTCGAGCTGCCAAACTACATGTTCTTTGCGACAGCACCAGGCAAAAGTGGCAACAGCTTTCGGTAACATGCACAGCATGCAAGTAGTCAAGTGGCACTTCTTGCATCGCTGGCAGGTTTCGCATCACATGGCAAAGTTCTCGCATGCTTTAAGATAGGAATCCCTAGCAGGTCATCCGAAGTCCCATCCTTCCTTCATTCCTTGGCGGCATAGCGCATGACTCCGGAAAAGCCAAAATTTGTTCAGCGAATGCAGGCATCGTTGCCACCATCCGCCGTGCGCTTTCGGAGTCCAGCGAGGTCATTCTCGACTGGGACGCTGGGACTGGGGACTAGAGTACTGTGCGCATTGTGCGCGCTGTGGGAACTCGAATCACATTCAACAGAGAAAGGTACTTGTTGGTTCATGCAGGCTTGTGCCGGGGGCTTGTGTGCATATCCTGTCCACCCCAGCTGAACCTTCCAAGGAGAAAGTGCGTGGACTAGACACGCTGCTCAGCTGATTTTCCGGCATTGGCGGGTCAGGCTTCGGCGCTCCCATGTAATTCATTTGAGCTGCTCGCCCCATGTGTTTGACCGAGGAAGGCCACCTTGGAATTCGCGGAGCTGTGTGCCGAGGAGCAGGCCGAGGAATCAAGGCCACTTGACAAGAGCCCGCACTTTGCATCGCGATGTCTTGTCGGTTGTTCAACGGCAGCAACGGGGGACTGAGGGGCATCCTGACCTTCGCAGCGCTTGGGCCTTCCATTCGGGCACAATTGGTGGCGGCCCACGCGCTGCCTGTGCCCGAGGCGCGGAGAGAGTAAGACTGTGAGGCCTTGAGCTGATTATGCTGTGAGGCAAGTTCTCGCAACCTGGAGATGGCTGAGCTCCCAGCCCGGAGATCCACGGCTCTGCCAGGTACCCTAGCCGCCCTGGCCCTCCCCAGCCACAAGCTCCAAGAAATGGGGACACAACTTCGCGGTCTTGCCAGGATCCTTGCGACGGCAGTCGCTCGCACCGACGGAGCACACAGACGCGAGAAGGCCTGCTGAGCACACATATGTCATATGTCTACTCTGATCTCGGAGCAAGTCCCTGAGGATGACGGGTGTAACCGCATTGCGAAGGAGCATCGTGCTGCCAACGGTCCCAGCAGGACCAACCCATGCGATCGGTGAATCTAAGCGACTCCTAGCACTCTACTGCACACACTGCACATACTTGCCATCTTCAACAGGGTCTGACCGATGTTTGCATTCCCTCGTGCCATGTTTGGATGCAGCTCTCGATGTTCATCGGAAGGATCCTGTCCCCGCGAAGCACGCAGCCTGGCAGAAGCCCTGGCGGAAGCAAAGCAAAGGCTGCCTACACCTGCCAGCAAGTGACCGGCAAAGGCATGACAGGGGCTTCGTGCTCACAGCTGTGTAGGCTGCAAAGTGTCCCTGCCTTTCTATTGTTGATTTGCAATTGTGGATCCAAAGCAGATCCTTGCGCGAGCAGGGCAGAGGACCCGCAGCAAGCCCTGCTTCCGCAAACAAGGATACGGACCGCGAGCATTGTATCAGAGCTTTCCGTTCAGGAGATAACGAAGTTCACAGGTCTCAAGCCAAGGGAACTAGTCGGATTCGAGCACGCAGTAGTTCTCTCCACCTGGTGCACGAATATTTTCCATAACAGCATGCGCATGATCCTAAGTCACAAATGTTTTAATCGTTGAAGTCGAGAAACCTGGCACGGAGTTAGAGCAGCATGCACTTCACTACACTCGGCCAAGAAGACGAAGGGAGGTGATTCATGGGTTCTAAGATGTTGAAAGTCCAGCAGCCAAATACTTGGGCCTTGCTTGATTGTGTTCATCACACGGTGACATGACGCTGCTGGCCTTTGCGATTCCAGCTGGCATCGCCGCAGTGGGCCAGGCAGTTGATGAGGGGTTGAGCCGTTGCGAAAAAAGTATGGTACAACTTCATTTTTACGCGAGACTCTCTTGGTCTTCTTGCGGGAGCTTGCCATGATTGTCCATGATCTGACCAGGTATTGCTAGCATGGGATTGGAGGATTTGGCTGGTAATCTTCATCGTTGGCTCCGTGCATGACTCGGGACTCGGAACAACGTTGTCCGAGGTCGGGCTTCTGGTATGGTGTGCAGCACATGTAAACGCACAACCTAGCTGTAGCAGTGCAGGGCCAAGGACAGATCCCGTTGCTAGAGGTGTCGTCACTCCACTCCACTCCGCTCAATTCCAATCCACTCATGCTCACGTGCAGATGCGCCGAGGTTGTGTTGCAGCACAAGGGCCCGGTGTCGGCGGAGGAACAGGCATCGAAGGTGCGAGGACAACATGTCTACGCTGACTGCCTTCCGACTTTTGGTTTGAAAACGGGGTCCCCCAAAGACGCCAGAAATCAGATGCGCAGGTGGCCAAGGCAGCGAAGCGCCACCAGGATGCCGGCGACTTCCAGGCGGCCAACTCACAGCTTCCCAAGCTTGTGAGCCTACGGTGCAGGATTCAGATCGAAGGTCGTCGAAACCGCGAAGAAATCTTTGGCTCAAGTGTAAGCTGGTCGTAGAAGATAGACATAGAATTCTCGCGCCATGGGGAACCTGTGCGGGGGCAAAGGGCGCTTTGATCGTGTGGTGGCAGGTTTGCCGAGCATGGAGGGCAAGGTCGTAGCAGTGACGGGTTGCACCTCAGGCACAGGCAAGATCTTTGCACAGGTGTGCGCTAGGAAAGGTGCCAAGGTTGTTCTTCTGAATCGAGAATCTGCACGGGCCGCAGAGGCCTTCAAGGACATCACTGAAGTAGCGAAAGCAGCAGGCGCACCAGTGCCGTTTGACATCCCGTGTGACCTCGCAAGCTTCAAAAGTGTGCACGCTGCTGGCGAGAAGTTACAGGCAGAGCTTCGGGAAAGCGGCATTGACGTTTTATGCAACAACGCAGGCATCATGGGTTTCGGAGACAAGGCTACAGAGGATGGCTGTGATATCCAGATGCAGACAAACCACTTGTCCCACTTCCTCCTGACCTACCTTTGCTTGCCCCTGCTCGACAAGGCGGCGTCTCTGCACGGTGAGGCACGCGTGGTGAATCACTCGAGCTGTGCCCGGGTTATGAACGGCCCGGAGTTCACGAACAAGCTAGAGGAGAAGTACCTGCTCAAAAACGGTGGAAACCTGGGTGGAGACAGCAACACAGTCATGCGGGGTGCGAACTTCGTGCGATACCAGCAGTCAAAGCTTGCAAACGTGGCCTTCACGTATGCTCTCCACAAGCGCTTGCAGGAGGCAGGCTCCAAGGTGAAGGCCCTAGTTGCCCATCCTGGCGTCGCTCCCACCCAGCTGACCCAGAAAATGGTAGGTGCTGGTGGCGCAAAAGATCTTGAGCTCTATCCCAGCTGGTTCACCAACTTTTCCATCAAGATGATGTACCAGTCGGAGGCCGATGGTACGATTGGCATCCTTCGCAACTCCTGTGACCCTGCGGCAAACTCAGGCGATTTCTTTGGCCCTGTAGGCAAAGGCGGAGGCACCGGAACCTACGACAACGGCGAGCGCAAAGGCCCAGTTGGGCTCCTAAAGCCGGAGCCTTTTGCCGACGAGGAAGCCCAGGAGTTGCTCTGGACTGCCAGCGAGGCCGTGACTGGCATCCAGTTCGACGTGAAAGCACGCGGACGTGACTGCTTGGCTTAGTAGGGTTTTGCGAAGAGTTCGGTTGCGCGTTGCCCAAAGGGCAGCCATCTTACTCTCACAATCATTGATCAGGTTCACCAGATCAAGACTCTAGGTTTCACGACTAAGTAAGCCCCATTGCAGCGCAAAAACTGGTCTTCGACCGAACAGAGCAGATGTCGGAGACGAAGCCCTCCCGTGCACGGGATTGCTGAGAATCGTTGCCTTTTTTGTCGGGATGAGTTAGAAGCACGGAGGTCGTTTCCACAACTGACACGACAACGTTCGTCAGGGTAGCACGTTTATCGGCAAGTTTATGGCCTCGGTGGTATATAGGAGGTGATTCACCGAGGTCCGCCTTTTGCGCCTAACTGCCTTGGAACGTCCAAGTGTGAGCGCCGAAAGCTGAACCGTCAGAGGTAAGCTATATCGAAGCTTCGAGCCTGAATCCTGCAGGGATGGAGGAGTCGAAAGATGAACCCAAGACCAGACCGTCAACCACCAAGAATGCATACGGTTTGCAGCTGGAACCATAGGCATCACGGGGAACGGAAGAGTTTTGCGGCTGCCGCAGACCACAGGGGGGAAGAGAGAGAGAGAGAGAGAGCTTCGTAGGGGCACCGGACAAGCAACCAGTGCGCATTCGTGCGCGAGGGAGGGCCTGCAAGCTCTTCCTTGGGCTGAGAGCAAGAAGAAGAAAGGTTCGTAGGGGGTCTACCCGTCCACCCCTGCATCACAACCCTGGCGAAAGAAAACAGAGGTTTGCGTTCGCGGAAGGGCAGGCAATGGGACCACTGCCTTTCCCACGCCCAGTAGAGAGAGCGACAGCGAGAGAAGAGAGACGGACCAGGCGGGGAAGTTTGTGTCCGGGCCGGAGTTCACCTCATCACTGTGAAATCAGCAGAGGTGGCCTATCTTCTTCTGACCCGCGGTCTCCGGCTACTCGGCCTCCCGGCCGAAGATCTCGTCGCATGTGAAGGAGACAAAGAAAAGTGATCCGCACTGCGAAGGAATACGAAGGAACCAATTCCGTAGATGGCTCGGTATTGTGCGCGAATCCACGAGGTGTTTTTGATAATGGCACTGACTCGCAGAAGACGGGACCGACTGCCGTGGAGCTGCGGCGGCGTCGTGCAGAGGCGCGGTAGAGATGTGGATCAAGACTCAGGTTTGGGCAACTGCAGCCATGAATCCTCAGGTCCACATGCACTGAATATCAGTAGCCCATTCTGGACTCTTTAATAGGAGCATGCTTTCGGAGAGTTTCGTCTCTTGCCGCCAGTTGTTGCTTGCCCGTGGCTTTACCGGGCCGTGCATGCAAGATACTTGGCGAGTTGGTCTCAGAGGAGGTGAGCACGACGGACAGGCTGTTTCTTGCTGGAATGTAGCATGGACACATAGACCCGCAATCCAAGGAGGCGCTTTCATTGAGCGGACCTGCTGCCGGCTTGCTGCGAGCACGCGCTCTAGCAAAGCAAGGCAAGTGGACCGAAGCTTCGGAAGCCATGAAGGTGCGGCCGGGCGGTGGGGAGTGGGGTGCTCGCATGTGCTCTTTCCTCCCATGGGTGCTTGTGAAAAAAAGCGGAGCGATAGCGGAGCCTGGACCAGGAGCCGGGCGTCCGGGAGTACGCTCGTGAGAACTACTCCGACAAGTTCTCCCTTCTGGTAGAAGTCGGTGCAAGGCATCAAGAGAGCAACCATTCACCGAGTACAAGATAGGAAGGGCACAGATTGCAAAGCTGATACCGACCTGGCGAGGCACATGACCGGGCAGATTGACGTGCCCATGCTCATGCGCCGCATGTTTGCATTGGCAGCGAACGGCCAAACGGTTGCTCAGTCACTTCGCTTCGACTGGCATTTCAGGCGCTGCCATCGCGAACAACCACTATGAGATACCTGGCGAAGCAGGGCCTTTGAGGTTCTTTGGCAGCATGCCCCAGCTTGGCTGCCAGAAGGTCCTGCGCTTCCCCGGGAGAGTAGACTCTTTAGCTTACGTTTTGCTTCCTTGTTTGTGTGTGTGTGTGTGTGTTGGTGTTGTGCATGGCCTTGTTGTGCTTGTTCTGCCTGTTTCGACAGGTATCAGTCTCCAAAGCTGACCCGGGAATGGATTCCAGGGCGCGGTCGGGGCATGATTGCTTCAGATGCTTGGACTTTGGAGTTTGAACTGAGCATCATCTCACACGACATGAGCCATCTTCAGTTTTCCCTTTGAGCTTCGACGTGGTGCCAGCGGCCCAGGAAGACATCGCGGCAGGTGAGCTTTTGATTTGCGAGCGGCCAATGGATCTCGTGCGACCGGGAGTCCCACGGCTCACCTTACGAGATCGCCACAGTTCTCGTTTCGGCATTTTTCGACACTTGAGCTGAACATCCGTCGGCTTTGTCAGGACAGCGATTGGGCTTACGGAGCAAATTTGGAGGTCCATGGTGTGCCGGCTGCTGTTGCCAGTGACATTGACACAATCATTGCTGTAGTGCTATGACTTGACAGTCATAACTTGATAATGCTTGTGTTCTGCAGGAGGTGTTGACGCAGCGCTTGACCGCAAGGTGCCTCAACGAGGCGTCGATAGCGCGTCGATCGTTCTTCTGCGAAGCCAACTGTGACTGAGCCACTTATCTGGCTCTGACATCGGGTGATTGACTCGTGTTCGGTTTGCGGATTGGTGCAGGCGCAGCTGATGGAAGACGTTTGCACACTTTTTGATGGCCAGGAGCCGGTGCCGCTAGTCGGCTGTGTTTACATCGGAAGAACCGCACACAGCATTCCATGATGGGCTGCAATGTCATGCCTTATATTCATGACAACACCAGGGAGGGCCTTGACACGAAACAACCTCTCAGACTTATCAGATTCGTAGAGCTTCCATAGCTTCGAGCCGCTTTCGTCTTCTGCGCATGCCCCCGAAGCTATGCGGAGGTGCATGAGGCATAGTGGCATAGTGGGAGTGACGAAGCAGACCCGGCGTGGCCCGCAGGATCCTGCTGGTCCAGGTTGGGTGCCCCATTCTTGGCAGACCGAGGCCCGAGCGGAGTGAGGCACAGACTTTGGACAAGATATACATAACATTATGGTATATAATATACAATATATATGTGTAATATATATATATATATACACACACACACATATATATATATATATATATTACAGCTCACTCTGTCATGCGCAGGACTTTGCGGTGCCGATGCCTAGGGGTGCTGGCACTCCGGTGCTGGAGCATCGTTTGGGCAGAGCCTTCTCGCAATAGCTTTCTTGTGTGCACATGCAGGGAGAGTTGAAGCATCGATGGCAGTCGCACATGAAGAGGATGGTGAATGGCGTGATGGCGTAGAATCCTGCGATGACTCTGCTGGAGTTCTAAGAACTCTCAGTGGCTTCAACGGCAAGGAACCCTATCTTGAGGTTGATTGGTCGAAAAACCTATAATTAAAGGTTCCGTGCTTCTCAATGGTTTCGTGCAGATGCTGGGCAGGTACAGGTGGCGTATATTTTGTTGTTGAAGTTTGGGTGGTCACCCTACCCCCCTTTCCCGATAGTTCAACGCCGCTACTATTCTTATTGCTATCACTACCGCCACTGCTACCGCTTCTGCTATTGTACTAGGCTGTTGCCTGAGCTGTTGTTTGCCCGCTGTTCTGCTTGTTCAGTACTGTCAAAAGCGGTACTGTTGCTACTACTACTCCCAGTTGCAAGGTGACTCGTCTTTTTGGACTTCGGGCTAGGCAAGCGGGAGCTTGAATTAGCCTTGGAGTCCATTTTGAAACTCTCAGCGTCTAAACCCCTTACTACAGCCCAAACGTTGGAGGCTGTCCTTGCGAAGTAGAAAGCAACAACAGAATAGAATTCGAAACATCCACATTGATCCTGTTGACCTCAGCCGCCCAGTCAGGAGGGGCCTCTCAGAGCCCCCTGAGACTTCCTTGTCCCCTTGGCTTCCACACCGGCTCCCAGTGCTGCTGCGAAACTGCTGCTGGTCCTAGTCGTCACTGGCAATGCCCTGCACCCCTGCCGACGAGCTTTCGTCCAGCCTTCTCAGTCTCAAGTAAGGGCATGCTGCAGCCGAAGCATAAACAAGGAGTCTCAGCGGTGCCTGGTCAGTGTTGTTTTGTGGAAACGGAATGGAAATCTTCCTTGTGGGGGTTAGAACCAACCTGCCTTTGGTGATGTTTGTGGAATCTCTTCGAGGGACATGCGCAAACTCCTGCCTTTTCCGGTGGTCTCGGGATGAAGATGCAGTCGATGCGACTATAGTCGATGCCGTGGCTTTCCCACCAAAGTGTCTATGTGCAGCAAGGAATCGTCAAGCACAACGTCACTGCCTCAGTAGAAGCACAAGCACCTTGGAAAGTTGGTTCACGGGACTTCATGGCAGCAGATGGCATCGCCTTCAGGCCCATCGTTGGCCCGGCTGCCATCCGCAGACCCTCACGCCCATGCCTGGGCTGGGACTTTGGCTCGTGCCGCCTATGGCGGCTCGGCTATGACAGCCGTAAGCTGCACTATCGAAAGCCGTGAGCAAAGAACTGCAACATGTCATTGACTGTGGTTACTCGAGTGCACTGTCGTGATTGGCCCAACGGTTGACTCAGGTGAATCATGCCTTAGAATGTGACAGCAGGCTGGCCTTTGACCTGTTGACATGTCGTTTAGGGGGCTTGTTGGTCGAAACGTTCTCTGTTCCCACGCGTCTCATCAGGAAATACAGGGAAAAGCATTGCACACTGTGGTTCCGCTGCGAGGCCAAACACAGCCCACGTGTTTGTTGGAGCTGCAGACTGAGCTTGGCACTCTTGAAGGTCATAGGTTCTCGATTCGTAGCGTAGATTGGCATCTTGTATGTGCCCAGCTAGTTGAGTTCCCAGGATGTCATGGTGTTCCGAGCCGTCGCTCCAATCAAGAAAGGGCAGGAAGTCCTTGATCGCGCTTGCCTTATCAGTGTGCAAAAACTGGCTGTCAAATCAGCTGTTTCTCCCTAAGGCTACAGCACTCCTCTTGCGGACCGGTTCCAATGGACCTTGCACACTTTGGCGGCTCATGAGATGCGCGATGCTACCTATGAGGCAGCTCATACAGCCGTTGTCTACATGCAATGCCATGTAAACGCGGGGATTGGACCTGTTCTTTAGTCCTGTAGTTTGTACTTTCTGTTAGGACCTGACACGTTGTGGATATTTTTGTCCCTCAACGGACGCCGTGTTTGTTCCAGTCTCTTTTCCTGTGGCGTCGATGTCCTGGTTTGCAAAAGCTGCTACACCGCTGCACAGACTGTTGCAGGCAGCCGCAGCTCGTTGGGAAGAGCCGGTGCTTCTTGTGGACAGATGCTTGATGCAATATTGTTGGATGTCGAGGTAGGCAAGCAAAGCTAGATGCCATGCGTCACGAGTTTCTGCTGCACTCTCCGAACTGCTTCTTCCACAATTTGGTCTGGCAGTTTCGGGGCCATCGACGATGGGCCGATAGGCTGCCACCGTCACAGTACGGGTTCCGGACAACACGCTCCACATCACAACCCATCGCTGCGGGCAACGAAGCCACCACCGAACAAGCACAAGCTGTCGGCATCGGACGGGAATGCCTTCTCTCCTCCTCTCACCCTACTTTTTCCTCATAATTAGTCCACGGGATGATAATGCACGACGTGGGCCAGGAGCTCACAGCAAACGGGCAATTATTGCCATGGCTCTGCAGCCAAACCCAGCCGTTCTACGACCCAGGCTACGCTGCGCTTGTTGCAGGCACTGCCGACAGTGGTCTTGGAATCACCAACCTCGCAGAACACCGTGGCTTTTGTCAACGGCACATCCCCCTCCATCGACAGACGCACACACACGCCGAATGCCTCCGCGTCACCCCAGCAACAAAGACGTCATCACCAGACTGGCAAAAGCACGCCAGCATTTTCACTTTCTCTATCATTTCTGGGGAAACACTGACCTCACACTTAAGTGGAGTCTGCATATCTGCGTATCCACAGCGAGTTAGGTTTGGCCGCTTGTCACATGTAGGCTCGAATCAGCAGCCCTCACCGTAGGCGATTACAATCGTCTCGAGGCATTCCACTCACAGTGCCTTCGTAGAGTCCTCCACATCAAAAGCTCACGGCTCATGTCAGATACTACAGCGAAGTGCGCCGCCTGACGCACACACCTAGACATTTCTCACCAAGCAACCTCTTGTCACACATTAATTATACAGTTATACATACAACAAGCACAGCCAAAGCTTTTCGGGCACGTTCTTTCCATCCCGTCCCATTGGTATTGAAAGGAAACGTTGTTTTACTGGCAGATTCCAGCTACCACTCACAGCCGCTTTTCTCTTCCTTCTCTACACGCATCTACAACCTCACAGAGTGGCTGTGGACCGCCTGTCAGGTATCTTCACAGACTTGAACTTGCCCTCAGATTCGTGTTGCATGATGCTGCGTGAACGGTGCATAGGGCCGCGCAAAAGGTTTGGGGTTTATTGTCAAAGAAGCTACATTTTGGTACTGCAGCGACGAAATTTGGTACTGCCGTGTCCTGCCGAGTTTGCTAGATGTCGGGCGACGGTTTCACGTAGTAATGCTAGGCGCACCTGGGTTCAATACTCGGAGCGCGTTGCATTTAGGGTCAATGTGTCAATGAGTGTCAATGATAACTGGTGCAATCCTCGCCAAGTCCACTTCATATTTGGAAAGTCCTTGTCGTGGGGACAAAGGCGCCAGCTCCGAACTGGCTTTGTCCAAGTCCCGCAAGATCATGCTGCAGAGTCTGCGACGCATGGAGAGCAAGGAACCGGGGAGCGGCCGCTTGACCGCAGACTTCCACGAGGGCAGGTACAGAGCATCGGCACGCCAGTAGCTCGGACAAACGTGTGCTAGCGGTGTAGCTTGAAGGTTTGGACGCAGTCTCGCGGGACGAGTACCAGGAAATTCGTGCAGCAGACCACAGAACATGTCGAGTTGGCCAGGATGAAACTACCACTGAGCTCTGTCGTGTGGGCTCTCACTGAGTGCTGGAACAGGAGCTCAAAGATTCTTACTTTGCAGCTGCCGCTGAGACACGACAGGAGCTCCAGGAGGCCTTCACCTTTGTAGAACCGCGTAGACTTGGCCTCACGTCGTTGGCAGGGCCGACTCAAAGAGCTGCCCCTTGCTCCACCGGAGGCGGAACAAGACAGCCCAGGAGCAGTTATCATTTCTCAGACTTCGCATGAGAGCATGGCAGGTGCGTTGTCTCAACCTCCTTTGCCCGTTGAGCTTTCACTTCGAGGCCGCCAGCGTGACTTTCAGGGCCAGGACGAAGTTTGAGTTTTGTTATGGCCTTGGCTCAGGGTCGGAGCTCCTGCTTGGAGCTTCGCGCAGAGCTGGCACGACGTGTCTCTTTAGCAAGGCCCTTCCACTTCGGCGAGGCGGGAGAGCGGAAGATCAGGCCTAGAGGTACTCAGGTAGATTCTCAGCAGTGCTTCTGACATGGAGGTGAAGCTATGGGCAGAGCTTTTCGAACGATTCAAGAAGATGGAGGCATCGGTCTGGGTGTAGTATTGCAGAGGGGCCAGATCCACTGACCTAATTCTCGATTAACAGGTTTAACAATTCATTTGCTGCTGGGTTTGGTTCGGGGTCCCCCGGCGTCGGGGGTGGTGCATCCCGGGGCAGTAGAGAAAGACAGATGCTTTAGATAGGCTCTATAGAGGAGCATATCGGGTTGGGGGCTGTGAGAGGAGTGGTGAGTCCTGGCTCTGCACCGTAGAGGGAGACAGGCTCTTCAGAAAGCTGAGTAGTAGCACCGCAGGAGGGTTTATTAGGGGTATCTAGAGCTGTTAAAGGCACTTTGGGCCCCCAAAATCTCGCTGCCAAACCCCGATCACTTCAAGAGAACTACCTAGACAAAACATGATTCATGTTGAAGACTTTTACCTTCGTCCTACACTCCTCACCACCGGCCTACTAAAATAAGTTTTCCAGCCTCTTGTCATCCTCTACCACCAGCAGAAAACAGAGTGAAAACATTATGCTCGTGCAATCTTTTGGCAAATTATAGAGGACACAAATGGACGCAACAACTTTTCCAAAATCTCGATTAAGCAGCGGATACAGGGTCACCTAGTTAACCCGTTGCACATTATACAGCAAAAGCAGGCACTCCAGCTGCGGACACGTATCTTGTATGGCTTCTCGCTGTACCGCAAGCTAGTGTTCGCTTCAGGGTGCGTGTCATTTTGCGGGTTACTTTGGGAGAAGGGTCCAGAGCTTTGGAGTCCCATGCGGGAGCCAAGTCATTGCTCTTGGTTGATGACTTTGGATCGTAAGACTTATGGCTTGTAAGGCTCGTCGCTTCGAGGCGTGTTTCAGCCTTTTGGCGTTTTAGGACTTCTCAGGCAGCTGGGCATTAGCTGCTCCGCTACCCAAGGGAACTCGCGCAGGATGAAACTGGTCGTGATTCTTGTTTGAAAGAAATGCTCCGCTACAGGAGGCCGGGGCGACCTTCAGCGCCGAGGAGACCACCTTGCGAGCAGAGGCCACCTGACCTGCCGTAGTGGGGGGCTTTTTTCTGAACAGCTCCTAGAAGCCTAGACTGGAAGTTGCCCGCCTTATCCCCTCTTCTTTCTGCCTCAGAAAGGGTCACGCCGTTCTTCATCAGAAGATGCCTTGAGGTAGATCGCGAGCTGGCGCGCTGTGCCGAATTTTGGCAGGGTGTCGGTACTCTTCCAGCAAGTGGGAGTGAAGGACAACAGCTGAAAGAGATCCTCGGCGACAGCTTACAGGACTAGTAAGCAGGCGCTTCTCAAGCAAGTTGTGTCTTTCATCTCAGAAAGGAACGTGCTGAGCATGAAGTGTGTATCAGAGAGAGATCCTTGAAGCTTCGCAACTGAGGGAGTTTGCGCTGTGGGTGAAGGGCTCGGAGGGCTTCCATCTCATGTGGTTCAGCGACTTCCCGTTGAGCAAATTTTTGAGTGGCCCGCCCACGAGCTGAAGGATGCACCTTTGCGGTGCCCCTGCCGTGGTGCTTATAAGTCTTCGGCATTTTGGTTGAAGACAGCAAGTTTCGCGATCTTGATTTCCCCATCAAGTAGGTTCTGTGTGAGGCATTCTTCACCGTAGTTCAGTTGTTTCTGCTCCGAGATACAGTGTCTTCGGCCAGGCCCACATTGGTACCCACCCTAGCTGGGCAGGTCTTATCGCAAAGACTGACTCCTTTCTGTTTGTGGCGCCAGTTCTGTCACTTGCAAGAAGCTGTCGCTGGACGCAAGCGCAAAGCACCCAAGAGGCCTGCAAACAGAAAGTAACGGAGTCCAGATGGCCATACCATTTTTTCGCCGCGGAAATCAGTTGCGCTATGCAGGCAGTTGCAAGTCATCAGTGCTTTCAGATGCAGTGAATCGGTTGAAGCAACGAGTTTGACGCTGGTATCTGTTCAGACGCAGCCCACTAAGGCTCAGTTGCACAAAGGAACACATCAACACAATGCAGTCACCTTGGAGTTCCACGCGGAGATGCTAGCCCCCTGCTGCTACTGCTACACGGGCCTAGCGTCTCATCCTAATTCTGACACTGGGACTGGGAGTCAGCGGAGTCCCGCGTGACGAGCATGGCTTACAATCAATACGAGCCTCGGCTTTGAATGCGCAGACTTAGCAGTCACCAATCGTGAAAGTGTGGCGACAGGGCCAGTCCTTAAGCGCCAGCTTGGTGTTTGGGAATGGAGATTTCTGCACGGAGCTGTAGCCGACTGTTGTCCACAGGACTTTTCACCAACGAAAGGAAGTAGAATTGCAGGAAGCAGCAGCCCTTCCTGCATTGCCTAGCAGTTACCGACTGGGGTGTATGTCATTGCCGCGATCTGAGACCGGAGCCATCTCAAGTGCATGCAAAGGCCTACAGCCAGTCCCAGCAACCGACCTCGCCTGGACATGGCCAGCCGCTTCAACAACCGGGTGTTTACAGGACGAAGACATGTCTGAAGATACGACAATGCTTTTCATGAGATGCAGGATGAGCAGCATCCAGGGCGGTGGCGACCCCATGGGGCGTCGACCAAGTGCCATGTTCGGGAGGAGCCGCCTTATCGAAGTGCAGACCTCACAAAGTTCAGGAGTCTCTTTCAAGTCTGTCTGGCGCCAGTCCGGTCGTCCATGCCGCAAGCGGCAATGCAAAGCTTGCGTAGATAAGTTTGGCTCCCCGGCATCGTTGGGCACATTAGCCCCTCTTCAAGGTGCATTTCGGCAGATGCTTACAGGATGGAATTTTCAGGGGCACATGAAAAGGACCCGGAGCGATGCAATGACGAGCCTCCTCACGGCCGAGGGGCCCATCGGCCAAAGCCTGTCTGCACCCGAGGCCGGACAGCTGGGTATTGAGTGTGACTTTGCCGTGGGGTGGCCGACAGCCAACTGATTCTCAGGAGGAAGCGCAAGATGTGCCTCGAGCAAGATAAGCTTAGCGGCTTTGTTTTCGGAATTTCTCTGCGCCCGCGAGTAGCCATCCAAGGAAGCCACAGAGGAAGCATCGGAGGAGCCATCCGTGAAGCCTAAGTTTCAAGCAAAATTGGTGTGTGGCATCTTGTCTCACATGGCCCTTCACGGTGGGGCGTAAATAGGGTATTACAGCTGGATTCCAACGCATGTTGCGTGATTGAGTTTCGCTGCGCACAACACGTGGTCTTCAATCTGAACATTGAGGGCGGCTTGCTCACGGCAGGCGCAGCAGTCTAGCTGTGTGGGTGTGTGTGGTTGCGATCTGAGGCATATTTGATGAGCGACCCTTCTTTCCCACAGTGCTGCTGGTATCACTACTGCTTGGTGCGCTTTGCATGCTGACGGAGCAGCGGGAATTGATCAGAGAAATGCATCGTGCATGCAAAAGTTCAGCAGGATATTCCAGCAATACTTCACTTCGATGATTCAATGGGTCCTAGCTGCTACTTCTCACCCAGGGTGTGTGATTCGACCCTTTGTTCGTTTTGGTCGAAACGAGCATTCAGCCACTTATCACCGACTCCACGAGCCGAGCAGCGTAGGGCAGAGTGGCTGAGGTGTGGAGGCTCTTGGTTGTTCACCAACTTCTTCTCCGTGGCCACCTAAGACGAAAACATGCAGGAAGACTGTTTGCCGTGCAGGCTTGCATAGCGGCTGGACTGAAGAATGACTGCTGCCATAGCCTCCCAGGTGCTCTACATTGCACCTTGCCTAAGACGGTGGCCGGGTAGCGGGCTGCACGAGAAGAACCGCCAAGCTGAAACTCGTAGATGTTCCCCAAAGCGCTTACAAAGACGTTGAGCAGCAGACAGCTGAGGTCACACTGGCATGCTTGTTGACGTGCCTTCTTTCGGACCCAGGCCGGTTGATGGAGTGATGCCGTTGTAAGACAGTAAGGGACCCAGCAGGACAGATGAGCAGGCAGAAGCATGATGAGATGCAATCTGCCGGCCTCCCCTTGCCGAAACGGTCTCACAAAGCGTGGCCTCTTGACTCCTGACGTTTGTGCCTGTTTGTCCTTATGCTGGTCCTGTGTGGATCGTCCGAGGCTGTACAAACGACCGATCCTGCGGTTCGACCACTACTGCCGATGGGTAACCAATGCACTTTCTCAGCAAAGGGGTTTCAGACAGCAGATCACTGGCCGGCAGCCAGCGTGCCGGGCAAACGTGCTTGTGCTTGCCCAGGTCATAGGCCTGAACAATCATCGAGAGTTCATGGCGCCTGGCCAAGACTTCCATGAACCCAGCGGGCTCGCATGCAATTGCAAGGAGTAGTTAGATCACAGCCGGGACGTTGGCAGCTCTCTATTCGTCATCAGCGCCTGCTCTTAGGTGATGTGCACGGGGCTGGCTACCATTGCCGTTTTGGGATTTGCAGTGGATGCGGCTCTTCTGTTGTGGTGCCTCCCTCAATTCAGAGTCTCGGCTTCTGATGTTGTGGCAGTTAGCGGTTGGCTGGTTTCGATAGGGGAGACTCTTTTCTGAAAACATGGTCATGATGTATGGACATTGCCGTTTGGCTCATGGGGTCGGAGGGCTGTCGGCAGCCGAAACAATGCGAAGCACACGCGAGCTGCAGCCTACGGGCGAGACGAGGCACTGCCTGTCAACATGACTCCGGGTCCCGTTACCAAGCCTGGCATCATTCTGGCTTTGTCCTTGTACGTTGCGATTCTTGCGCTTCGCCCGTCGTGCTTCGCACGGCCGCCTGCCGTTGCACTGGGGGAAAACGACCAAGAACGGAGACTGGTCGTTGAGCTGAAGGAGGCTGGACGTGACGGTAATTGGTTCAAGGCTCAGATGCTTTTGGGCAAGTATACTGGCTGCGCCGTGGCGGTTGTTACAGCGGCTTTGGCTGTGGCAAATCGATGTGGAAGATATCGCGAAGGTGCCAGGATCTATGAAAAGTTCCGCGCTGCAGATCCGGTCCGTTCAACTGACGCAGCTCTCCAAGCAGAAGCTATCCGCATATTTGCGTGCTTCGGACCAAAGTCAAATTTCAAAGTCACTTACCCAGCTTGCCACTCCTGGTTCTGCGACTGTGAGGAAGCTTCGAGCCTTCGGCCGCGTGCGCCAAGTCTGGGGAGAAGCCCGGGAGGCAGGTGCGGTGAGCCCTATGACCCTTGTTTGAAACAGAGATTTTGCCAAGGTTTGCTGCACATTAGCATTGTGCAACTGGAAGAGCAAGTCCCAGCACTATTTAACAATGACCAACAAGGGTGCATTGCCGCGAGGAGGTAATCGTGCGTCAGTGCATTCTCACGAACCGCATGACCTTGACTTGAAGCTCTGAAGGGGCCTTTCCTGAGTCCTCCGCGGGACCCAAGGATCCTCTCCGCGCGCCTCGAGGCTGCAGCCGCCGAGGGTGATGTGGACGCGGCCGAGGCTGCTCTCCAGGAGCTCTAAGACTCTAAGTGCAGTTAACTGCACCGATGTCGGGAATACCGAAAAAATAAGCAGTTACAGCCAGTTCCGCGAGTTACCGCTGCCAGTGCTTCCGGCCGCCTAGAATGGAGCTGCTTTTTACCGTTGTTGTTAAGACAAAGCTGCCTCTGTTATCCTTCCATACAGACGCTGACTCGGGCTTGTAACTTGTAGTGTGGTGAGGTCTGATGGGCTTTGTTCTGTGCAAGATGTGTCTTCAGGAGATGTGTGAAAGGGGCATGGCACCGGGCGTAGAACACTTCAACTCGGCCATATTGGCATGCGAAAACTCGGACAAGTTCACCCCGGCCGCGATGTTCCTTTTCGAGTCCATGCTGACTCAGGCAACTGTATAAGTTGCGTAGTGTTTCTGAACTGTTGGAAAAAGGATGATGCTTCCTTGATTCTTGCCCCTCTGAACATCACTGTGCTTTGCCGTTTTCGGCGCAGGGTGTGATGCCAAACATCGCTACCTTGACGACATTGACGGCATGTTACGCAGCAGCGCCACTGGCCGATGTCCTGGCTGTCGGAGCGAAGGTGCAGGCCTTAGGCCTCAAAGCAGATTCAGCCTTTGCGGAGGCATATACATGTGCCATTCTGGGGCTGCCTCGGAATAAACGGATGTACGGCCGGACTTTGACGACTTTCGCCAAGACCCTGGAGAGTCTCAGCAGCGCGCGCAAGGCTGCCGCCCGACGGGCGATCTCTGAGCTACGGGCCGATGGGGTCAGGCTACCGCGCTTCTGTGCCTCTGATTTTTTGAGCGATCATGTTTTGGTGTAGTGCGGAAAAATGGCCTCCCGCTGCCCGTAAAACCTGCAAAGTTTGGAGTCTGCCCCGGGCTGGAACCAAGGTCAAATCGTGGCTGCTAAGCTCTTCTTCCCTGGTGCGATGCTCAAGGTTACCACCAAGACTTGGCCCAAAGCCGGAGGTTGACTTCGACATCTTTGACTTCCTGGAGCCGACGAGTTTGATGCGCAGATCCCGGCCGAACTCTGTGCCCAAGGGTCCTTTAGCGCTCCTTCAGGCTCGTGTCGCCTTTAGTTTACGGGGCCCAAGCCCTCTGGAAGGGAAGCCTGCAGCCAGAAGCTGCATGATCTGCATTCCTTGGAGACCTTCCTGCATAGGTTTCGGGCCTCGGTCAGCTGGCTGATTCTAATGATGGCACAAGCCCAGATGCAAAAAGAGCGATGGAGCTCCATGCATCGGATTCGCTGATGCCGGTCGCATTGTGTAGTAGGGTTAGTAGGACATGCATGCTGCCGTGCTGCACATGCAGCTTGGATACCGTCCTCAGATCTGGGGCTGTAATTGTCAGACAGGGCTTAGAGTGAATTGGTTTCGGCAGGAGCGTGGCTGTCGAGGGCCAATTTTTTTCAGTCTCGAAACCCGTGATCAGAAACTGCAGTCCAGAGCAAAACTAGACGCAAAGACAGCTTCTGTTTTCATGCCACCCTGGGCCAGGGCGCCAGGGCCAGGAGGAAATTCTCACACATATGCGTGCTCTTTATGTGTGGCTGCAGTTTCCTCTTCCTTCCTTTGCGCGACGGAGGGCCTTGAAAGATAAGATGTGTGAGGCAACATTTTGGCAGCATCAGATTCGCCACTTGAGGATTTCCAATCTTCGTTGTTCTCCACATGGGGTATTCTGCAATCTTTGGCAAGTACATCATGCCCATATTCACAATCCACGCAACTGGGCAAGCAGAACAGACCGTTGCAGTTGGTTACCACATCTGTAGAATGCGTTGTCAAATCAGACCGATTTTGCCACACTTTTGCAGGACTGCCCCTTGACATTTGAGGTGGGTTTCGTCTCAAGGAGTGAGCTGGCGAAGGATTACAAAAACGATGATGCTTCGCTGCAAGGGTCAGCTATGCTCCGTCAGTCGGGCCGATCTCGGAGCGGCTACAGTTTCAGCTCTTGCAATGCATTGCACTGCTTCATACTGCTGCCACCGAGCCAAAGCCAATCAACACACAAATTCCGAGCATCGCATCAAGGAGTTTTGGGTTCTCAAAGATGCGGAGACCGGTGGGCCACTGGGTTTGCATTTGTGCAACAACAGGACTGGACAACCTCCTGGTGGCAAAGCTGAGGAGCACTCCGGCGAAGGATCTCGATGCAGATATCTACAACGAGGCTTTCGATAATGATGCCCTCACCTACGACAGTGGCCTCCCGAGAGTCAGCTACTTCCCCTTGAGGGGGCTGAGAAGTGATACAGACTATCGCAGACTTCTGAGGTCAGAGAAATCCCTGGGACAAGGGCTGGCAAAGCCCCTTGTCTGCACGACGGGGCGGAGCCCAAACAAAGCCCCGAGCACTTCGAAGTTGCTTCTGCCACATGCTGTCTCCTCAGAAGCAGACGAGGCAACTGTTTCACATTCTGGTGCACTCCAAGATGGACTCCGGATCAGTTGGGCGAGTTTTAAGCAGCCACCGACAGTACGAACAACCTGGCGGCCGCCTCTTATTGCTCTCAAGGCGGTTCGAGTCCGTCTGTGCCTCGCGAAGCCACTAGATGCGCGCATTGGCATGGACAGTTTGTCAGCTGTGCCGTTTGCGTGCCAGCGGTTCATCTCAAATAGCCGAGATGTTTCAGCGTTTCACATGGATCGCCCGGGAACCAATGAACCAATAAAGAAGACTTCTAGGTGGGCAGTTTACGAAGCTTGCTACATTTTGTGTCGAAGCGGCAGGGGTCGACTAAGTGCGCTCACAGAATACCGTAATCCAACGCAGCCCGTCGGAGTTTCAGTCGAAGTCATTTAGCATGCCTAAACGTCTTTGAGGTACGGTAGAGACGAGCCGGGGCAGCCGGGGCACAATTTAGACTCGTGCGATTGGCGAATACTCGGGTGAACATTCTATGACCTTTGCAGACGAGGATTGCACTGGCACCGGCGAGCTGTTTGTTTCGTGGGTTTGCAACAGAAGGCAACAGATCAATGGCCCGTCTCCTCGTATGTCGCGATGTGCGTTTTCTTTGGGCTGACAGGGCGTCATGCGTTCTACATGCATTCAGGGGTTGTGAGGAGGCTTCGTATCTGATCTCCATGCTTTCAATCTGTACTGGTCTACACAGCCATCAATGAGCCAGAACTGCCCCTTTACAAGCATGCCCAACCGCCAACGCCTGCAGACATGCCACATAAGCTTTGGTCATGTAATCGCTCACGCAATGGACCCTGCTCGTGGAGACGCGGTCTCGCAGTGAGGCAGCCTGGCATCGTGAGGGCCATGGGCTAAAGACTGAGAGCAAGACTGGCTTTAGCTGTGCCCTTCCGTGGAGCTGTGTGCCGTCTTCTCAGCAAGTCAGCATCGCTTCATCTAATATAATATTGTACTATCGCCTCACCTTCCAGGCATCCAGGTGCCGGATTCGTTTTGTCTTAGCGCCGGGAAGACGAGAAGCATGCGCGCGGCAGAAACTCGGTCGCAATTTGAAACACCTTGACCGGGTCCAGATGCATGAACGCCAGTGACTGGTGTTACTATGTCAGCGGATGCATAGTTACTTAAACTTAGCTTGTCCGGCCACAGCACTTTCTTGTTCTTGGCTACTTTGGCCAGCGGGTGCTTGATTATTTTCTAGCGGTCAGATTCGCCAGACCACCTTTTGTTTGCCAGTAAGACCTCTTCGCGGATTGTCGCCTTCCTTCTCACGCAAAGCCCGACCTGAAACAGGCCCCCCACAACAGTGGAGGTAGCCCTGGAGTTAAGAGCACAGCGAGCAGAGTCGTGGACAAGCAACCGATGGCCGAAGAGTCGGATGGCCTAGCACATTTTTCACCTTTAGCTGGCCTTACATGCTCATTACAATTACAAGCTGCTGACATGGTCTTCTCCTTGATCTAGGTCAGGGAACGAAGAGAGACAAGGAAGACCATATTTCACCTTCCAGTGTTGCGGCCCCCCCGCAGGCACAGGAAGCATGGGCCTGTGTACTGGGGGTATCAATCAGTCCTTTGTGTCCGAGAAGAACTGGAGAGAGAGGACGAGAGATGCACGAAGGTGACAGACCCAGCTCTGGCTGCTATCCTCCAGCGCCGCCGGCTCCTCTCTGAACCACAGCTTGCCCAGGTGAGAGCCTGACTTGACAGGTGTGCCGTAGCCTCCATGCCCAGCAGGCCCTCTTCACCCTCTTCCATGTTGATGAGGTAGCAACTTGGTCGGAAGAGGACACCTTGACGGAAGATGCTGGCACGGTGTTTCGGTGGCAGATTTTGCTTGCTGCCTGCATGATCTTGCATGTCACTCCATGCTTCCGCATGAGGGCTGCATGGGACGGTTGGGGCACTGTGGGATTAAGTGATGTGGTCAGTACTCAGGAATCAGCCAGTCAGCAGCATCATTCGATGCTCATACGCCCCGGCATTGTTCAAGAAGCATTGACCGCCATCCAGGACCCGCTAAGCTGCCAGACAAAGAGGCAAGCAGTCCGCTCCAAGTGCTGCCGTAACGATGCTAAGTCCCGAGTATTGCCAAGTTCAGAAGAAGTCCTTTAAGTGGAAGGCTGGTTTTTGCCACTGCAGGAGAGGCCCGCAGGGCCAGCGAAACCCGATGATCCGGTGTGTCTTGGCTGTGTCGTCGTCGTCTCCGATGCTTTCATGATTCGCAGAACATGTTGTCATCCCTCCAGAACTAGGCAATGCTTCGACATGGCGACAGATTCGGAATCAGAGGAAGAAAGCTGCGCCTCCGACAGTGGCTTGGACCCAGGTGAGGAGCTCAGCTCCCAAACAAAGGGACGGAACACATGCGAGTGAGCTTTCGTCGGAGAGTCTTGTTCTCCGCCGCTTGCTGGATGTTCACATTCTTAGGCCACATGCCCGCGCAAAGCTCCGAGTCGACTTGCATCGGTGACGAGGAGCCATGTTCTGTGAGCAGCGAAGTGCAGCTCTGTAGGTGACAGTTTTCATCTTGCGATCGACGGATGGCTTCAAGAATCGCGAACTTCTGACAGAAGTGACAGAACGATGAACGATGACTCTGAGTCTTTGCATGCAGGACATCTCATCATGCGGCGAAAGGCGTCTCGGACTGCTTCTTCCTAGCCTGCCAGTTTCTTGTCGTTCCGGCGACTCGAAATTTTGAGTTGTCGAAGATGTAAACACTGTTCTACGACACGGGGAGGATTCTGTTTGACACCGGCAGGCGAGACTCGAGGGTCTTGTCGTGTAGCACTCCACTTATTTAGTGATTTAGTGGCGTGGCAATGCCCCTTGAAAGGCCGCGGACCCGCCTTGCTGCCGATTCGCTGCAGGACTACTCATGAACTCATGAACGAAGTCTGTGGGTGCTGATGGTACTACAAGATGTGCTGTCTGGGGCATGCTTATCCCGCCCGCAAGGATTCCACCCTGGCCGGCGAAGTTCGCGCAGCTGAATTGATGTGGCGCGGACAGCAATGGATGGGTACTGCCTCCTGCTACTGTATTGGCACCCAACATGATCAGTTCAATTCCGACAGGCCTTCTGCAATAATCAGCCTTGCAACGCAAGTGTGTCTGCTGAGGACTGGCCTGACCCGAGCAGCGACCGTTGCAGACCTGAGGCTAGCAGTGCAGCAGAGGCAGCTCAGCAGCACATTCTTAAGGAACTGACAGCTGTTCCTGTAGAGGGAGCGGCGTAGTGCGAACGAAGCTATCTTTCGAATCCCTGCAAGCCAAGGATTTCTTCGGAGGAGAACGTCACACTTCTGACTACATCTGGCGGTGCATATGTGCCATTGCTTGACGACGAAGTCATCGGCGGCTTATTCGACGATGTTGAGGACACGCAGCGACACCATGGCACTTTGCTTGGTGGCATAACCCAACAGAAAGTAGCACACCAGCAAGCAAGAAGGCAGCTTCCTGGCTTCGGGAGCATGGTCTTCAGATGTTGACTCAGCGAGCTCTCAGTCTAGTCCCGCCAGTCCCAATTACAGTACGTGCCAACTAACGCCTGCTCTCCTGCTCTCAGATCTTGGCACGGCCCTTTCGAATGCAGTGCTGTGGCATGGCCTTCGCAGAGCAGCTAGTCACAGACAGGATGTGGTGATTCAAGGGCATGTCTTCGTGCTGTCCGGGCCCAGATCTGGGGCAGAGGCGACAAGGCCACTTTTTCCTTGGAAGCACCGAAGTTTTCGCAACATGTTGAGATTGGTGGGGTGCGGAAGGCCAAGCGTCGTGGAGGCTGAAAATGCTCAGCTCCGGGCGCAGATCGCCATGCTGGAGAGACGTGCCACGGCACGAGAGATTTTGAGGGTACTTTTTCGGACCCCAATGGATGACTGCCCACGAGGATTGGCAGAATCGGAATCTACCCAGAGGGACCAGCAGGTGTCTCGCCTTGCAGTAGTTCCGAGTAGTTTCCTCGCGCAGCACATCCACGTATAGTGATATAGTGACGTTGGACCCCTGCACATGGAAGCGACGGGGCATCCAGCCTGGCATGCGCGAAAGTCGAGATAATTCGTCATAGTAGAGCGACAGCTGTCTACACTCCTTCCTCGTGTCTCCGTGAAATTGCTTGTTGGCCTCGTCTAGAATATAGAATCACAGCGTCAGGAAAACACATGGGCATTGCGGGCCCTTCTCGCAGAGGGGCTAGGCTTATAGGGCTGCAGATATGATGCCAGGTACAAGAACAGGCAGACAATTCTGTGCAGCTTGTGCCGGAGCCGATTCCGCTTCATACTCTGGATGCTGCAGTGGAGGGCCCAGAAGAAGGTGAACCTCCTGAGCCTTGGGCTGGATGATTGGACCCTCTTGAGATTCCTAAGAGCCGTTCATGAGCTCCAGTTCTCCCGACGCTCAGAAGCGTGTTCAGGCGATCGACGACGTCGAAGCCGAGTCCGTTCCAGCGTCGCAGCCCCAGGGCGTCCCAGGGCGAAACGCAGAGCTTTCCACGGAGAGCTGTGTTTGACGTTTTCAGCAGCCTTGTGCCTAGGAGTTCAGCTGCTGGGCTCTCCGAGGCAGTTGCTGTGAGACATGGCATGTAAGGTAGGGGTTTGAGCAAATTCACAGGGCACCCTCCATTCAAATTCGTCGTTGTGCTCTCTGGCCCGCTGCTGTTGCTGTTGCTGCTGTTGCCGTTGCCGTTGCTGTTGCTGTTGCTGCTGTTGCCGTTGCCGTTGCCGTGCTTGTGCTTGTGCTTGTGCTTGTGCTTGTGCTTGTGCTTGTGCTTGTGCTTGTTGTGGTTGTTGTGATTGTTGTTGCTGTCGCTGTCGCTGTCGCTGTCGCTGTCGCTGTGGCTGTGGCTGTGGCTGTGGCTGTGGCTGTGGCTGTTGCTGTTGCGGTTGTGGTTGTGGTTGTGGTTGTGGTGGTTGTTGCGGTTGTGGTTGTGTTTGGTGTTGTCGTTGTTGTCGTTGTCGGAGCTGTAACTGTAGGGAAGAAAGAAGCTCGGGCAAACGAGATGTTCCAGAAGCAGAGCTGTGCCCGCCGTACTAAGCCCTAGTCGCAGCAGCTTTTGTGGCCCCTCTCAAGTTTCTGTTGGTGGTGGTGCTGCTGCTGTATGGCATGGCTGCGTGTGGCCGTGGCGGTTGCTGCTTGTTGCTTCTGGCTGCTCTGCTGCTGCAGCTGCTGCTATTAAGTTTCTCCTTGCAAGTTGCAGGCTGCGCAAGAGCGATTTTAGAACACGGTTCGGACCGTGGGCCCATTGAAGAAAAGGTGGGGATGGGTTCGGCGTAGTTACTGCGCGGTTACCTCGCACCGCAAAACAACAAACCTGACAACAAAGTAATTCAAGAGCCAAGTTGTAGTAGAGCTTGTTTTACCAACAGAGATATTATTCCAAGCTACAGTGGCCGCCGAGGAAACTAGTGCCTACTCCAAGTCCACAGTACCACCTAGTAGCAGAGTTACGCGCCCCGAAACCAGAAAATCTTGCTGGGCTTTCTTTATCTCAGGGGGGGTTTGTCTCACGGAAGTCGGAAGGGATTTTGCTTTGCCAGGCCGCGCACTGCCAACCGGCTCCTGAAGCTGCCGCTGCCGAAGCTGCCGCCGATGTTGCGCCAGCATCTCCAGCAGCTTTGTTTCAGCAGCCAGTGCAACTTCGAGACTGAACTGTCAAGCCTGACAGCGGTTCAAGCCCTCCCGAGGAGCCAGAAAGGGATCCTTCGGCTGCTCCTGGCTTCCAGCTACTCTTCAGAAGAATACCAAAGCAGCGTTTGCATCTTGATCGTCATTTCTCAAGGCCTGGACAAGGCGGCATGCCTTCGAAGTGTCCCGGAGGTGGGTTCCCACTGTTGTTTGCCTGCCTTTTGATCTCCAGCCTGCCAATAGCAAACCTTGACCTTGAGCAGCACAGCAGCAGGTGCGTCCACCATCCTCGTTTCGTTGCTGTCCATGCAGCAGCTCCGATCGCAGATCGCAGATGAAGCTTTCTTGTCTGTTTAGGTTGGTAGAGCGGCAGTACTGTGGCAATCCAAGGTCTCCCGACCAGCCAGCCATGAAGCTGGAAATGATGCTCGGAATACTTGTGCCGGTTTTCCGCAGGCGCAGGCGATCGAAGCATGTATAGATTATTTTGAACGCTGCGCGTCGTCCGCCTCGGCCCGGCCGCGAACAAACAGGGCCCACGAACTGCTCCACACAAAAAGGGAATCAAGGTTTCGATTTTTGGGGGGTTTGAAATTTAAGGGTTAGGGGGGTTTGGGATTTAGGAGTTTCGAGATTTCAGGGAGAGCTAACGAACTGCTGGTGCCTTGAAG